CAGTTGGAGAGGGGAACGAAACATTTCAGATGCGTTTTAAAACCTTGAGGGGAAGCTAGGAAGGGAAAGCTTGAGGCACTGGTCGGAGTGTGTTTTAAAAACCGTGTGGCTGGTGAGAATATGTAACGGGCTAAAACAGACAATATCGGCTATCGGTGGGTTTGGGCTGTTATAGATACCCTCTCCCTACAGCAACCTATCCAATTCCTTAGAAAGACTGTGTCACCTCATTTATCGAGTTATTCACTTTCTTATGCTATTTGTTGCTGCTGAGTTTTAAATCTGTCTCGTGTCTTTGACTTCAACAGAATGCCCCTGCACGATTACTGCATTCTCTGGTGGCAATGCTTCTATCCATATTGAGCATATTGAGAAGTAGTATGATTTGCTCAAACACATATGTATTTTTTCTATGCAGATGTGCCATAAACACGGTGTTATGCATCGCGATCTCAAGCCCGAGAACTTCCTTTTTGGAAACAAGAAGGAAACAGCTCCATTAAAAGCAATTGATTTCGGGTTGTCGGTATTCTTCAAACCTGGTATTAGACTAGATCCATTCAGCACGGCTGCTTTTTGCCTTTCTAATACATAGTTACTTTCATGTAATGCATCTTCTTTTCTTTTCTTTTCTTTTCATTTCTTTATAAACATCTGCAAGTAGTATAACAAATATGCAATTCCTTTAGGCGAGCAGTTCAATGAAATCGTTGGAAGTCCGTATTACATGGCTCCCGAGGTCCTGAAAAGGAACTATGGTCCAGAAGTTGACGTTTGGAGTGCCGGGGTCATTCTTTATATTTTACTTTGTGGCGTCCCACCTTTTTGGGCAGGTTTGTTTCCCATAAGTTTTGTTTTTGAAAAAGTACCGTCATTCTTGATTCGAATCCTTTGTTTTCCATTACCCTGATTATGATCCATATCATAAGAACTTCGTGTATATAAAATTGTATTCCATATCGTAAGAACGTTGTGTATTTGAAGATTCTTGTCCATTTTCTGTTTCATATTTTGCAAGCAGAAACCGAACAGGGGGTTGCACAGGCTATCATTCGCTCGATAATCGATTTTAAGAGGGACCCTTGGCCTATAGTGTCTGACAATGCAAAGGACCTAGTGAAGAAAATGCTTAATCCCGACCCCAAAAGGCGACTCACTGCTCAAGAAGTGCTCGGTACTAATTTTATTCCGTTATATGTAGCCTTTTCAATTCATTGCTTCACTACGAAATGATTTTCCCTTCTATGAATATGTAGAACATCCCTGGTTACAAAATGCCAAAAAGGCGCCGAATGTTTCATTGGGGGAGACTGTGAAAGCAAGGCTAAAACAGTTTTCTGTGATGAACAAGCTGAAGAAAAGAGCTCTACGGGTAATAATATCTTGAATACAAAGAACACTTTGCTATGTTTCTGGAAATTCTTGCTGGAAATTTGATATCAAAACTTGAATTATATTGTATAATAGGTTATTGCCGAGCATTTATCAGTTGAGGAAGTGGCTGGAATCAAAGAGGCATTTGAAATGATGGATACTGGTAAAAGAGGTAAGATAAACCTCGAGGAGCTTCGTGTAGGATTACAAAAGCTAGGCCAGCAGATCCCGGATGCTGATCTACAGATACTCGTCGAATCGGTAAGCGTTCTTCTCTTTCTAATCCCGGGATCTGAATCTGGTTGCTCCTTGAGCTCTGCACAATCATCCATCATCTTAGTTTAAAGAACTTAACTCTTGGTAGGCTGATCTTGATGGTGATGGGACATTGAATTATGCGGAGTTCGTCGCTGTTTCGGTCCATCTTAAAAAGATGGCAAATGATGAACACCTGCATAAAGCTTTTTCATTCTTCGATCAAAACAAGAGCGGCTACATCGAGATTGAAGAGCTAAGAAATGCGCTTAATGATGGAGACGAAACCAACGTCGAGGAGGTTATCGATGCCATCATGCATGATGTGGACACGGACAAGGTCAGTTTTTATTCCTGTAACGCTTATGTCGTCGATCATCACCTACACATGTAACGCTTTCCTTCTCATTACCTCAGGACGGGCGTATAAGCTACGAGGAGTTTGCAGCTATGATGAAGGCGGGTACAGATTGGAGAAAAGCTTCAAGACAATACTCACGAGAAAGATTTAACAGTCTGAGTTTAAAGTTAATGAGAGACGGATCGTTGCATCTAACGAACGAAGGTAGATGAATCACGAACCTTGGAAGCTGATTGATTTTGTTGATTTGGATGGAAGAAACTCTGAATTTTTTCTTCTTTTTACTTCACTTTTGAATATGATTTGGTTTGTAGAACAGATATTTTGCCTTTTGGGCTAGCCAGGATTAGAATGGTGGGGTCTAAAAGTGCCTCTTGAAACATTCATGTTCATGTTAAGGGTATCTGTTTTGGGGTAGTTAAGTGCTGAGAAGACCCACCTAAGTTCATTCTAGAGAGGAGAAAGGGTCTTGGTTGAGGACCTCATTGTGTGATTGTGTGTATATAATCAATTAATTAGGTCAACTAGTGATGTAAGAGTTTGCTTGAATCTACATTTTCCTTTCAATTTTCCACTTCTTTTAAGGTGTTTAGCCCCTAAGCCCGAGAACCCGCGTTCGTGGAATGGTTTGTTATTCCCGAGTTCAGTCTTGATCATCATTACGCTTGTTTGTCAAAGGGTTTGTTAGAACTCGAGTTCAATCTTGATCATCGACAACTATTGCTTGTTTGTGAAAGGGTTTGTTAAACCCGAGTTCAATTTTGATCATCAATAGGTATTGCTTGTTCGTGAAAGGGTTTGTTAAACCCGAGTTCAATCTTGTCATCAACAAGTATTTTGCTTGTTCGTGAAAGGGTTTGCTAAACTCGAGTTCAATCTTGATCATCAAGAGGTATTGCGTGTTTATATAAGTGTTTGTTAAACTCAAGTTTCAATCTTGATCAGCGGTACTACTTACTTTAGTATAATTTGATCAGTTAAGACATTTTCTTGATCAAGAGAGCATAATTTGACTGGTTAAGATATATTTTTTTAATCAAGAGATGAGATGAGACGTTTGAATCTTTGTCGTTAAAAATAATATATAATAATAACTCTGAAATGACTATTTAACCCATCTCGATCTCTATTTCTCGATCTCTATTTCTCTATCTCTCTGCATGTTTGTGGAGTTAAGTGATTAGATTAATAATAGAGGTGTACCGATTACATTGGTTTCTATATGGCCTATTCTATATGGCCTATATGTAGGTGGGAAGTACACTCCGAATCTTGCATTAAACCAATGTTTATCGAAGTTAACGTGTACGCGGATGCTCGCTTCCTTACTTCATTCTGAGGATCCTCGATATGTTGATCCCCTATCAGCTCATGATATTCTTTCAGTATGTTCTTAGTCAGAGTGATATATATCCTCCGGGCAACGAAGTTAGGGCTATCGAGTTGGGTTTCTTTACGCATTGCAGCTTTGTTGGGATCTTGGATGGCGGTCGGGTCCACTTCGAGAATGGCTTGGGGTACCAGTGCCCAAAAAGAAAAGGCACCTACTACAAGGGACATGGTGAGCATAAGATCGAGGGAGCTCGGTTCGATTCAACCAAATCTAGTTTTAAAAGACATTCTTGAACCAATCCAATTCAAATAAATTCATAATTCAACTCAAACCATACGAGTTCGATTAGGTTGGTCGGGCTAGTCGGGTCATCCGAATTCTCGAACCGCCCTAATTAAGTTTTTTTTACTAATCCAATTTGGTGAAGTCCAGGTTCAATGTACCTTGGTTTCTATTTGTACAAAACCTCACGCGCCCACTCTACGCGCTTAACCACTCTTCTTAGCATACACGGCCGCCTAGATTGTCATTATAAAATTAATCTTAAAAAACATACTTATTTTGACGACAAATTTTCCCTAACTATTTAATTCTTTTAATTCCAAAACAAATATTAAAATATATTTTTAATTACAAAAGGTTAGAGATAATCATTGTATTTAAAACTTTATGTTATATAGAAACTTGATATTAATTTATATAATAAAATTATTTTTGGTTCTTATTATAATAAATCTCTCCCTTCTCAATTTTTAGTAAGTATTAATTTAATCTAATTTTTTGAAGTAATAATTTAATTTATGTATTTAAAAAATTATATGTGCCGCCTTTTCTAATAATGACTTAGTATTTATTATTTATTAAATATTTTTAATTTATAAATCAATTTATTAATTCACATATTAGAAAAATCCCATTAAATCTTTAAAATATAAATTTTAAAATAACTAAATAGTTACAAAATTTAAAATATACCGAACAATTAAACTCTTGATTAAAATTTTAAAAACTAATTTTTTTAACATTTTATATAAATATACAAGAAAAATAAGAATTATTTTTATTATAAAAATGTAGTTTTTTTTTTATGGAATTAATTTCTTATATTAAAGTCTATTAAATTTAAAGTTTTGATATTTAAGAATAAAAAAATAATATTATTTTTGATAGTTTGAGTATTTTTTAAATATGATATTAAAATTTTAATATATATTTTTTGAAATTTGAATGTATTTTTTTTTTTGGTAATGTTTTAGAGTTAAAAAATATTATTTATTAAGGAAAAAGACGAAGAAGAAGCGCGTGAATGAAATGAGAGTGGGCGTGTGTCTCTAGAATGGTTTGAAAGGGCACGCGTGTTAGGCACGTGATGCACTTTTTGTTTTTGTAAAATAAAATTAAAAAAAAAAAAAAAAAAAAAAAAAAAAAAAAAAAAAAAAAAA